CCCCCCCCCCGATTTGGGCTTCCTGGGGTCTTTGCAAGAGGAGCATCAGGCTATGTTTCTGCAAAAAACAAACAAACCAAGCAGCAAAAACTAAGGGCTGACATTTTTAGGCGTAACTCTGTCAAGGGGGGGCTTGAGTCAAAAAAGAGGGAGTCATAGTGGCAGAGGGAAGGGGGGCTGCAAGGGGTCATCCAGTCCAACCCCCTGCCTGAGGCAGGACCGTCCCTATCCAAACCATCCTATACAAATCCAGAACCACTGCAGCAGAGCCTTGATTTTCCAGGCTATTTGGGGAGCGTCAAATCAGCGTTTGGCTCATGAAACATGTATAATGTTTATATTTTTAATATGTACATATTAAGCAAACAGCTATGTTTATAATACATAACTGATACACAACCTTTTCCAGGGCAGTGATTATTTCAGCCTTGCTCTCAGTCACCAAAACCATTCTCTTCCTTTCAGCCATGGTTGCTCTCACATGTATCTCACGCTATGCAGGATGGCAGCTTGTCCTGCATCCTGTTTGGATTAAATGGTTGGGAAGATAATCGGTATTCAGATTACTGAATCCCTACTATCTAGTCATCGTAGTATACTCTGTCTGTCTTTACCCCCACGTCGTGACAAATGACACTCACTGTGCCTGGGATCTTGGTAGATATGCCAAAGTAAACAGGGCTAGAGCACGGTGGGCTCTGGAACAGGGCTAGCAACAGTTTGATCGCCGCCTGAGCATCCCCAAAATCTGGAGATGGTGATGTGTAAAGACCAAATCTTACTCTTCAGTATTTCCCACGACAAGGTCCCAGCTCTGCTTATAAGCACCAAGTTGCTTCACACGCTCTAAAAACTCTTCTTGCCTGTCTGAGGCACACGCAGGATCCAGTTGCAACAAACTTGTTTGTGTAAGGGATTCTTTCCAAATCTTCTCATTAATCTTTGTTCTAATACTCATTAATCAAAAGTAATCCAAATTCATAATAATACTGTGTTATACTTCCAACTTCTGTTGCACCCACCAGATGGCTTTGGGATACAGTAAAAAATAAAGCATTTTTGTTATATAAAATGTGTTGAATGCAAACTGAGTTGTAAAGTATATATTTTAATTTGGAGAGTAGATAGATGATTTCATTTGCAGGGCAGGACAACACCCACTTTGTGATTACTGCTGGAACATGGGGTTGGGGTGCAGAGACTTAAACTGCATACGTTTCTAATGCTCCAGGCTAATATGAGTGAAGCTGTTGTCTGACAAAGCGTATGGCTTTAAAAAGGACCTTTAGCAAAAACTGCCAAACCTGAAAAAGCTTTCCATGGCTTTCAGCCAGCATGAGGGATACAGGTGGAACTTAAGTGTCAGGATGGACTAGTGATGAGCCTTAGACCCTTTTCAGTATGGTGGTTTGAAGCTGGTCAGGTCAGCAAAAGCCATTGTCAGTGATATATGTTGGATGGCTCTCATTCCAGTTCTCAGAAGATAAGTGTCCATATAATTAATATGTACCATCACCGGAGCTGGCCCTAATTGTCACCATTAGTGACAGCAAAGAAGCTAAGTATTAACAGGACACAACAATTTATGAAGCCAGAGTTCATACAAGTCGTGGCTGAGCATATGGATGGTAGGTATTGCATCCAGCAGGAAGGCTTCCAGTATGGATTCTTCTGTGGGCAGAGGATTTCCTGAGCTCAGGACTGTCAAGGTAGCAGTTTTTATTGGTGCTAAACTATCACAGAAATGTTCTTTAAAAAACAAACAAAAAAAAGGAAACAGGAGTTGCAGTTACCTTCTGATGCTGACCAGTATGAAGCAGGATTGCTCCTCACATGGGTCCTCATTTATTGGAACGACTGGGAGAATTAAAAGTATGCGAGGGGGCTAATAGGCAGGACTGTGCTCATCCTGGCTAATGTAACCTGCTGGAGTCTTCAAACACTATCTGTTGCACAGAAAGGATATCAGTGGTTTTAATGGAGCAACCACAATTTCCTGGACCTCAGACATGTGAAGTATTGGGGCTTTATATTACAACATTACACCCTTCAACAGGTTTATCAGCTCTTAGCCCATAAATGAGAACTAAGTTTCATAACAATGGTGCTGTAAGTGGACACAGAAATATGGGGAATCCAGACACAGTCATCAATAGACACTAATGCTGATTTTAATTTGGTCTTGAGACTCAAGTTGAGAGTTTATTCCTTGGATACAGAATGCCTAATTCTTTGTGGAAGGACCATGTTCCTTTAGTGTTTTCACAGACCTGAGAAAACTGTCATGAAACACTGCTCTCATCTGCAAACCTGTGTATGTGTAAAGAGATTTTTCAGTATATTCTAGCAAGCTTCATGGAATATACATGGTTCTTACTTATATGTTTATATATGTATAACAATTGACCTTACTTTTAGATCCTCTAGGCTACAGGGCTTTATGGAAATTAAAATATTATTTTACCATGGAAAGATTTTAAATAAGTTACCTAGGTAGAGAGGGAAGGAATTTCATAGTTATAATAAAAATCTGCTCCCTTTCACTTTGTTTCCAAAGCAAATTCTCATACAATGAGTTCTGAAGAGAGTTTTTTTTCTTTTAGCTAGCTGTGGTCTGTACATATGCAGAAGGTGGATTCATAGATGTTAGGGGCTGGAAGGGACCTTACAAGATCATCGGGTCCAGCCCCCCTGCATTTGGGATGTTTGAGGTTAGTCTATTCAGAGAGGAAACGAATGTGTAAGGCTGCATTGCTGACAGACACAGTAACAATCAACCACGAAGAGTGTGTGTATTGTGGTCCATAATCAAAAACGAATACCGAAAGATGACAGTTGGAAGGATTAAGCTGTTAAAGGTGCATGAGCGACAAAGATTAGGCAGCTGCTAACATTGGCAAGTGGGGTGAGATATATCAATTGCTGGCCATACTGATACTTTGCACTTCCATAGTTCACTTCTATACTTTCATCTTTGGACGCTACCGTTCTTTTCAAAGGACAACATTATTATTTTTCTTTTACAAAAAGAACCACTGGGGTACAGGAAAGTATAATGCCTCTCCCATGGTCACAGAGTGAGTCAGCTATACAGAAAGGGAACAAAAGTCCAGGTTGCTCTAATCACTAGGTCAGGCTGAACACAATAGAAGGTTTGGAGGGAAGATGTTTAATATTTTCAAGACCGTATTCTCCTCTGACTCAGTATTTCATCCCACGTCTGACATTTCTGATGAAACAATGATAGGCCGTGTATGGCTTTCACACTGCAGGGCAGAAAGACCCTGTTCATGTTTGTGGTATATCAGAATACGCTGCTTCTATTCACACGAACACCTTATACTTGGCAACTCTTGAATACTGTGCTTGGCAACTTCATGCTGGTTCACATGGTACTCCTCTCCTCTACAGGGTGGAATTTGAGCTCCCATTTATACCGACTGAAGTATTTATGCTATGGTTGGGAGACAAAGCATGCCGAATCCTGTCCCCAGTGCTACACGTGTGTGCTAGCTGACAACTATCCGCTCACTTGAACTCAACCACCTCGAAAGGAGTAACTCAGGTAGAGATAACTTGAGCTGACCTTACTATAAGTGGTAGATGTAAATGGTAGATGTAAATATTGCTTTTATTCCAGATAAATCTTTGGTTTGTGAAGTAATCGCAGCATTGGAAAACATGTTGAATTTCTCTGCACCAAAAGCTGTGGTAAAGGTGTGATATAGTATATGCAGCCCCCAGCTATTTGAATTGTATGACCATATTACAGTCAAGCACTGCAGAAGCCTGATTTTTATCAGTGCAAGGCAAAAGTGTCTACAGATAACTAGGTATCCCTTTTGCTATCAAGAACAATAGAGAATTAATTAATCATTGCATTTGTAACAGTCATTTCAATCACGAACTCGCATAACTATCCTAAGTATTTTCCAGTGTACTCAATGGTCCCAAATCTAGGTGATCACCTGATTGCTTGTTTCTTTAAAAACTGCCAGGAAATGATGGGAGATGGTATGATGATGGAGCAATGTGGGTGTAGGGTTGCCAAATAGTTTGATTCTATTCCAGGAGGTTTCGGGGAGGCCGACGTGTCGGTGACACACAACGCAGACGTACCTGCGTGCTTGCACATATCCACGATGGATTACGGTGCATAGACTTTACGCCAGGAAGGCAAATGCACATTACTATTGCATTTAACAAACCCACAGGCCTACTGCATAGATTGGATTCTGGGTTTTTGGTTGTAGCCATGTTGGTCTAAGGACATAGATGACACTCTCGTGGACCCAGAGGGACAGCCTTCCATCTTCAGCTCTCTCTGTGAAAAAATGAAGCTTATTCCCTACCGATGAGGACTTTTCCCCATCTTGTACCATTTAGACTTTCCCCAGAGCCTCATGAAGGGACTTTGGTCCCGAAAGCTTGCAGAAAAGGAGTTTTCTTGCGATTTCCCAGTTGGTCTAATAAAAGGTATCATTTTGGAACTCAGAGTTCTAGTTTTTTGTACATCTTCCAAGGACATAGGCATGAACTATTCGTTTTAATGAACGCCCTGTCATTTATCTACCGGGTGACTCT